GTGGGGAGGAATTAAAAACACGGACCGGCAACAATTGGATATTTATTCACATTTAGGACTCCCCGATGGTAATTTAGTGCACAGCCCCCTGCCTGGTATTGAATGGCATCCCTGCTTCCGGAGGATTCCCCCACCGCCGTCATGTTGGCGCCTGACGCTGCAGGTGATCCGCTGCTAATTGTTCGCCATCATCGCAGGCGGCTTGCGAGGGGAGAAACATTGTCCGCAAACTCCGGGTGACCTATATTTACGACTAGGTTCCATGAAATTCTTGTCACATATTTTCTTTGTTTTCTTGCGGCACTTTGATGCTGTTTTATGATAAAAATTATTGTTTTCCCGCTTGTATTTGATGCCCACATAACTTCCAAGCATAGAGATCGAAACACGATCAATTCATTTTTCCTCTGAGGGCCAAACAACTTTTGCCTTCGTCAGTTCGAAACAAAACGTGTGGCAATCGCAGAGGTTTCCAAATGTAAGCATTTACTGTTTTCCAAAAAGCCGCACGTAAGCAAATACAGTCATACCTCGGGTTTCGACCATAATCCGTTCCAGAAGGCTGTTCAAAAAGCGATTTGTTGGAAATCCGAAACTATTTGATTAGCCCATGATTAGGGGCTCATACACTATGCAGAAACAACATCAAAACAGTCAGCTTTGCTTAAATCACAACAAACACGTCTGCTCACAATGAACGCTACACGACCAAGCGTCACTTCCTCGTGTAAGGAAGCCGAGAGGAGTCAAGTGGCGAGGGAGGATATTCCAATAATTGCGCTCTTTTCCGACCTCCGCATTCTCCGCACTAAAATGAGCAAATGAAAGCAATTTCCCCCATTTTGAGAAATGCAGGCGTAACTCCTCCTTCTCCGTTCCTCAACCGATTGAAACCATTCCAACAATTAATTGTCCTGCTCATTCACGATATCTTTTTCTCTTCTCAGTTGAGTCTTTTGCTCGATGTTAGCATTTGAGCCATCCTCGTTGCAATGACCACTCCGGAGGGCTTTCTTTCCCTCCACTTCTAAGAAACAACACGGAACGTTGATAATCGAAATCCACCAGCATCGCAGCACAGATTGTGTTCCATTTTGGGGGTTGTGCTCGATTTATTTTTGACTTCTCTTGAAATTTGGCGCCCCGGGCGCCTCCACAACTGTTGCATCACATTTGGATACTTCTGTAGCCAAGCCTTACGCATACAACTAATGAGCCGCTTTATCCGTCAGAAGACGACGCAAATACTCGGCGGCGGCGGGAAATCTTCAAAACAAACATTTCATCTTCTCCTCGCTTTTCTCTTTCCTGTTTTTTTTTTTTTTTTCCCCCATCCCCAAGACGACAACTTGGAAGTGAATTGTTAATCACGGGCTCGCCGCTGGACGTCAACAATGTACGCGAGATGGAGAGCTCCTTATTTCATCGCGGCGCTTGAGATGCGTGCAGAGAAGAGTTGGCATCTTCTGTCGGCTTTAATTGGTTTCAAAGAGGCCTTCGCGCGCTCCATTAGACACGCGCGGAGGCGTACCACCGCGTCGCTATTGCGCTAAATGTGTCCTCTTGTCTTCGTGCCGAGGACTCTGCTTTGAGTTCTTGGCGCAAAAGTGGCAAAAGTATATGCACTCTGTACAAAAGGCTGAGCCGGGTACAATGTAACCCCCCCCCCAAAAAAAAAAAAAATCATTCCAAAATAAAAGATTTTTATAGCGGGAGTGTCAACCTCATTTTTGTCGGGTTACGTCTTCCTGGATGCTAGCCAGGTCCAAAGCAAAAGTTAATCGCTTCTTCTTTGGCCCTCACCTCACACCAATATTTCAAGAAAAGCAGTTGGCATGACGACCATGAAGGAATTAAAGAAAAAAAATGCATTAAAAAGAAAAACAACAACAACAACAATTAGTTGCCTCTGCAATTGTCCAAATCTGTTTTCTTGCCATAATTCCCATTGAAAGTTTCCAACCTTGAATATTCCCGGATATTTTGCAAGCCAACTTGTGAGCGCTGCTCGTGTAAAACGAGACGCCAAATTTGACTTGGCTACCGAGCGACCAATCAAACGGCAATTTGAAGAGCTGGAACAGACGCCGGAGGCCGCCCAGACACAATTCGAAATGAGGCTGCCAGCAACGCGCCGTGCTAATGAGGAGATTTGATGTCCAAAATGCTCTCGAGGAGACACATTTCGAATACGTTTGACAACAAAACAAGAATTGGAAGTAGCAGGACAATTCATGGAAAGCCGTTGAAGCCTTTCGTCCGTATTCGGGATCTCCACCTTAGTGCGCCCGCCCTTTCTTCTCACTCGTACAACAATTCAGCACGCTTATAGAATGCCTGCATTACGAAGGCTTTTTTTTTCTTTTTTTTCAGTCTTCTCTACTGCCGCCTTCCACTGCCTGACATTTCTGCGGCCGAGTCGGACAACTTTCCCATCCAAGTAGGGCAGATAGATGTGATGAGTTGTTACTAGAGCAGGAGTGTCCAGTACATCGATCGCGATGCATGCATGGATGGAAGTATTTAAAGAATAAAATCAAACAAAAAAACGGGCATCCTTTAGCCTACGGCGGCGCCCATATCTGCGTCACCAGAAGTTGTTAGCCGTCACCGGTCTGCAATTGCAGCTTGCGATCAGAGCTGTTGCGATACATCCTTTTCCAAAAAGTTTATTTCATGTACAATTCACCGGTGGCACAGGCAAAGAATGGTAATCTGGAGCGCCAGGAGAGGCATTTTATCACCGTAAACTAATGGTGTCAAATTCAAGGCCCCGGGGCCAGATCTGGCCCGCCGCAAAATTTTATGTGGCCCGCGAAACAAACATTTTTGCGGCGACTTCGTGCTTCTTGCTAAAATACCAAAATTGGCCCAATGAGTTTGACCCCCCTTGCGAGTACACGTACGTACGCTAGTTTGTGCACTCAACACGCTGCTTCAACAGCGCGTCCCGTGCCTCCGCGTCAGGTCTGAGGTGATTTCCTTTTCGCCAACTCACCAACTCTTGTGTGTATGCGTGCACGTGCGGTAATGGGTCGATGGCGGGAGGTTGGTTGCTTGGAAAGTAGCTCTTCGGTCCAAAAATGGGTTGGGCACCCCTGTACTACACTGAAGGCACACAAATGTTGACTTGAGACTTGCCTGTAGGCTGTAAGGAAACAAACAAACGAAAAAAAAAAAGATCTCTGCCATCCGCAATATGCTGCAAAAAAAACTGTTTGGTCTAAAAAGCAAACGGCGGCGGATCACCTCTTGCGGCCACTTTGCCCTCCACACACAAGCAAGAAAAAGGCAACCAGAAAAGGGAGAAAATGAACCATAATCACATTGCTTGCTCCAGTAAAACATTCCAGCTGCGCCTGTATGCCGAGTGTAATTACATTTCTCTTTTAATTAAACTTCATCCATATTTGCAGAACACACATTAAAAAAAAAAAAAAAAAAAGAGAGAGAGAGAGAGAGAGAGAGAGAAAATGAGGCCAACAACGTTGGGCCCTCAACGAGCAAATTGCGTGTAAAAGATCTTCAGGGGGTTTTGGTTCAGTTGAGTTTAGTTGAGCGCAGGGAGCTTGAGAACATTTGCGGCAATTAATGTGAAACAAAAGCTTCATTTTCTGTTTGTTTGGCTGCGGCTGGAATTGAAGAGTTAGCGCGGCACCACAATGAAGCGTTAACAACATCAACACGGCACAACTGCGCGCCATTTTTCTTAATCGCTGCGTTGTCGTCTTTCAACTCATTCTAATTGACATCTCGCACTAAAAACGCAGGGGACAAAATGAGATGTGGCATCCCATCATGTGGGAGGCGTACAAGCGCTTCCAAAAAGTCTGCACACCTCTGGTCAAATGAAAGGTTTTTGTGGTGTCAGGAAATCACACAACCAGTCATCATTACAGAACATTCTCCGCCACTAATGTGACGTATGACCTGTACAAGTTAATTAAACAAACAAAAAAAAAGTGGGGTTGCACAAGTGTGCACACCCTCGTCACTGGGGCAAATAAAGGTTGCCTGTTCTAGTAGGCTTTTCCTGGCATTTTTTTGCCTTCTGAAGGTTTTGTCACAAGAGTGATTTTTTTTTTTTTTTAGAACTGTGTCTAATTCCCTTCATCTTGACAAAGGCCCCGGTTCAACTAAAGAAGCCCCAGATAAAGTTCAGTTGTTCTAGTAGGCTTTTTGGGCCAGTTTTTTTTTTTTTTTTTTTTTTAATTTATCCTCGAATTCTGACGTTCATTTGCTCATACAGTACGGACCGCTATTAGCAACTCTTGTACATTTACCTTCACTTGTTTTCATTGTCATTTTTTGACTCAAATGATCTTAGCTTTTTGTTCCAAAATTTCGCACATTTTCTACAGTTTTTTGGTTATTTATTTATTTTACATTTATGCTGACACACTGACTAAAATAAGCACGCTCGCCAATTTTTTATTTTCATCGATTGTCATTCATTTTTGATGATTTTCACTCATTTTTAGCATTTTGTTAAAATTCATTTGGGTGAGCGCCCCTTACTTTTGATTTGAACGTTTTGCACTTACATTGACAATTTCCATTCGTTGTCAGATTTTTATGACAAATCTCCATTGTTTTCTCATCATTATCCATGTGCAATACAGTCGACTTGAACAGGCATGCACGCGCACACGCGCGAGTCATCGAACATATGTGCTGGTAAAAGTTAATTTGAGTGCACAGCTTGGTTTAATTAGAAGCAGCTGGGAAAACAAGGGAGAAAAAGGAGGGCAGAATGATGCCATTTCTCGTGCACGACATTCACATCAGACCAACCCTGATAATCCCGAGATTACACACACACACACACACACACACACACACACACACACACACACACACACACACACACATGCACACGCGCGTACACACAAACACAAAATGTCATCCGTACAAGGCGAGTGAATTAATGGTCCTCATCTGTTTCTACATTGTTTTCCAAATCCCTCACATGACGAACGCTGCTTGGATTTATTCATTGTTGCCCCGCCACGTTGCGCATTTCAAAGCGATCGTTTTGGGCGGCTTTTTGCAATCTCCAAGCAAATCCAAATTTAGAATTGCATGTTTTATTGGGATTGTGTTTATTTATTACTTTCATCATTCAAATTGTTTTAGAATGTAATTTCTTTTTTTTTTTGGGATGGGAGGGGGGTTGACATTGATTTTACATGGGAGCATCGTTGTGGGGGGAGGGGGGTCCAATAGATGAATGTGTATAAATAGTTTGGATGATAAATGGATGGAAACAGCGGCAGCCCGATGGTTCAGTGGTAAGCGCAACGACCCCACATTGCAGAGGTCGTGGGTTCGGCCTCCCTGTGTGGAGTTTGCATGTCCTCCCCGTGCCTGCGTGAGTTTTCTCCGAGTACTCCGGTTTCCTCCCACGTTCCAAAAACATGCGCGGCAGGCTGATTGAACACTCCAAATTGTCCCTGGGTGTGAGTGTGAGTGCGAAGGGTTGTTTGTCTCTCTGTGCCCTGTCTCTGTGTTGGCTGGCAACTGGTTCAGGGTGTCCCCCGCCTGCTGCCCAACGACAGCCGGGATAGGCTCCAGCATGCCCCGCGACCCTTGTGACCATAAAGAGCATCAGAAAGTAGATGGATGGATGGAAACAAAATATTTATTTTCCAAAATAGGCTGCACGGCGGCTGTTAAGCACCACGATATCTTAGATGTGAAAAGGAAAATATTCTGGAAGATGAGGGAAAAAATATCAATCGACTTCAACAATTCTCCTTTAATGGCGACGGGGGAGTGTCACAATCTGTGAAACGAGCTGCACGCATTATGTGCGCTCAAGTCTCCCCAGG